AAACGTCAGCCACTCAATTAATGTCTATTTTTGTAGGAAGTATTTTGCGGGAGGTGTGTGTAAGTCTACAGCACAACTGAATGGGAAAGTTGTGGTGATCACAGGAGCCAACACCGGCATAGGGAAGGAAACGGCGCAAGACCTTGCAAGAAGAGGCAAGTGATTCATATCTGCTTATCCCTTGTAGCCCCCAGAATTGTAGGGCTTGTAAGAAAAGGAATTCAGGATGGAAAGGGAAGGTTGCACTTCAGTTTGTTCCTAGAGTGTGATATCTCCTTTTCTAGGAGGTTTTGAGTAGAATTTCCTTTAAAGCCGCTCTCCACTTTTTAAGCACGTTGTAATATAAAGTCCAGCTTGGCAGTAATCCTGCGTAAGCTGCAAATTCCCCAGCACCACAGGTCAACCTTCATGCTTGCAGTCAAGGCTGCGTTCCTGTCTCCAGCAACCTCATTCAACGGTTCTTGCTGTGTCTTTAGCCTGATTTCTGAATCTGGATATACCATATTGGCATATGCCATATTGGCATATTGAATTTATCTTACGGTAGCTGTCCTTGAAGCAAAAGGCATTTGACGGTGACGCTAATGGTGAAATTGCTGGATTTATCGTAGTTTTTAGAAGGTTCCGTATTTTCAACTTTTAACAAACTTTGCTTCTAATATATCCCTTCAAATTATTTTCTTCTTTTGTTTCTTTGTATCATAAATACCTGTGAAGCCCATTGGCTAAGCCAGCTCCTTCTGTCATTAATATTCTGGTGTTTGAGGATTTTTTCCATCCTGTAATCCATGATAAAACAGCTTTTTAAATAATATAATTTAAGGTTAGGAAATGCAGTCCTCCTCTTTCTTTTGAGTCTTGCAAAATCTTGAATATTACTTTTTTGTTTTTTTCTTTTGCTGCTTCATGTAAATCTATTGATTGTTCTTTGCCAGTCCTGCAGGCATTTGCCAGAGATTGGAATTGGTGCATTAGAACAGGACGTTCATCTTGGGAAAATATCTATTAATTTCTATTGTTGCAATGCATCCTAACCAAGAAAATTTTAGATTTTTCCACCTATCAAGATCTATGTATTTCCACAATTGGTTACAAGTGCTTTGAATTAGGTCTTGGTTGCATCCTGTCAGATAAAGTCCCAAATATTTCAGTGGTTTTGTTGTTGTTGTTGTTATTTCACAATCAGTCCCTTTTTATTCAAAAAGTGTTCTTCTTCAACGGTTCTTTATACTGTTAATGTCTTTGTTTTCTTTTCATTATTTTTGTTTCTGGAAAATGGGCCAAAGTTGTCATTTGGAGAGTAACACCCTTGTTCCACTTTTTGTTTTTTATTGGCCGCAGGTGCCAAAGTCATCCTTGCTTGCAGAGATATGGCAAAAGCAGAAAAGGCAGTCCATGAAATCCGGACCAAGATGGGAAACCAAGATGTTATGGCCAAACAATTAGACTTGGCAGACACCAAATCTATCAGAGAATTTGCCAATAATTTCTTGAAAGGTACGTCTGAGACACATTGTTTTTCTCAGGGTGGGTTTTCTCGGGCAAAATGATATCGGGCTATTTGTTTGTCTAAAAACCCA